GCAGCAGACCCCTAGCAAGCATGCTGTGCAAATCCTCACATCCTTCCATATCTTCAGTAGGGAATGGTTTCCACTGCTGCACCTCTCTGCTCCTCACTTGTCTAGGTTCCCCCAAATCTGCCTGTGAGGCCATAGCAGATCTCAGCCTCTAGCATCCTGTGAAATGACAACTTGGCTTTTCATCTGAAAAGTCCTGGCTGTGGGGGGGAAAAAAAAAGTAGTTTAGGCCCAAAGAAGAACACAGCGCTTTCTCCTCGCACTATTATTGCCCCAGGCAATAGCTGTTCACTGGGGCCCAGGTCCATTGGGCAGTTTATCTGCATGCTGGTGTTCACGCCTACACAGAGATGTTTTGTTCTCCTCTCCTGAACTTGTCCTTGTTTCTATTTTGTGGGTTGCTTTCACAGCAGGAACAAGCTAATAAGAAGAGGGAGAGAGTCATGAGTGAAACAGGAACAGAGTTGCCAAAACAAGAGAAGAAACGGCCAAAAGCCTCCCAGCAACCAGAGGAGCTGGAAGCACCAAAGCAGTTTACCCCCTTTGATTACAGCAAGTCCAACTTCAAAGTGTTTGCGGGTAAGATCTGGATCTCTTGCTAGAGTACTGCAGGCTGTGGAAAATGTTGCCAGCTGAGCCCTGAGAAGGCTGTGCGTGAATGTAGGTGCCGAGGCAGTACAAACTGTTAAAATGCACTTACCTTACAGTGGGGAAATACTAGAAGAAATTAACTTGGGGAATGTATGGTTTAGCATCCCTTTTCTGATTTGGAAACAAAATCCTGAAACTGTTGGCCAAGGGGATTGCAGATTTGTATTTTGCTTCTTTTCTCTGTAGAGAAAGCCATCTGTTCAATTGGACACCAGGAACTAGGAGGCAAAGGAGACTTGACTCCGTTGTAACAAGTATCTACTGAAAAGCATCTCCTGCCCATAAGAGACCCTTGTGGTTTTTAGCATGTGGGAGACTGCAGTGAAACCTTCCCATCAGAGGAACACTGTGGAATGTACTGTTCTGTTCTTTCTGGAAAATTTTAGTGATAGCTTCTCTCCTCTCTCCTGTAGGAAGCAGCAAATCAAAGCAGTCGCCACAATTTGATCCTGCCAAGCAAGCTTACGCAGGCAAGGTACGGGCATGTCATGAAAGAAGGGACAGAAATGTTGATGATAGCATGTACCCAGCTGGGGACTCGCTGGGGAAGGCAGATGACTTTTTCTGGATCTGCAGAATGTTCCCTAACATCACTTGGTACTGAGGTGCTGCTTCCAATCACAAGCTCATACTTTGTGTTACAGTGTCTTCCCATTCAGAGAGAGCTTTTTGGGGGCCCCTCAGACTCTCTTGACGTTTCCCACCTCTTCACACGCTGTTCACACCTACACCCCTATACATCACAGCTGTGACACTTAGACCACAGCACACCACCACAAATTCCCAATACCAAATTCAAGGCACTCTCAAAAATCCCAGTCAGTCCAATTATTCTAGGCCGTGGCAGGCTTGCATGTTGCCCACATTCTCCACCAAGTACTGTCATTAGGAAAATGGTCTCAGCTTGGAGAATTTTTACTTAATTTATTGCTAATTGAGATTGAGAGATTGAAGAGAAGAAAGAAAACATAAACAGTCAAACACGTACTTAGGGAAACCTGTGACCAGCACAGGGCAGTTCCTTTGTCGTCATTGTCCCTCACCCCAGGTCACCCCTGCAGACCTGGGTTACCTGAAACCCTGCATAGTGCTCATGCATGGAGCGTTTGGGTGCTGATGCGTGACGTCAGTGGGCATTCAGGCATGAAGTAATAGGGTGCCCATGCATGAACTCATTGGGCACTTGAGCATTAATTTTAAGTTCTGAAGCTCATTTCTTGCATTTCAGCCTCTTTCCTGTGCATGCTGCCTCCCTGCACGTTTAACTGGAGGGCAAATGGTACCAGGGAGCATCTTAGATATTCATTAAAAATCGTATTTTAGAAGCTGAACAAGTTTATGCCTGATAGTGTAGGAAACAGTTTCCTGTGTAATCCCTTTTCTGTGTCAGTTGAAACTTGTTTCAGGAGAAAAAAAGAAACTGATTGGTGAATTTGGGACAACCTATACAGATCTTCTGTCTAGATGGGTAAGATTTGTCATCATGGGGTATTGTGCCTCACAGTCAGGGTTAGACCAGTAGAACAGCACTTACTCAGATGCATTCAGTGCTTGTGCATGTAAAGAAGTCCTAAAACATAAAGCTCACAGCGTAAACAAGCAGCATTCCTTGAAGTTTGAGGAACCTGACAGCACATGAATCTCATGGAATGTACTGTATTTGGCAGGTACCTCACTGTGGTGGTGGTGTTTCTGTTTTTTATTTATTTTTTTTTTTTCTGTGCAGAAATTTGCTGGAGCTAACAGACTTCAACAATCTGGAAACCGAAGCATGTCCTACCTGGCGGGGAAAGCTGATAGGTGTGTTGTCAGCCTGCTCTCATCGAAGTGATGGAGTGTTTTCACGCCTGTGCCCTGGAGCTATGGGCAAAGCATAGCTATTGTCCTCTATTGCTTTGGGAGCTTAAGCCCACATTTAATGGGAAGAGGTTGTGTAACACCTACTCAGCTTGACGTCATTTTAAAGGAAAAAAGAAAAAAAAAAAAAGCTTATTCAGGATTAATGCAATCAAAGACAATTCTGGGTGGAAGGTTTGAAATGCTGAGGTAAAAGTTTGTGTTAATAGATGTGGGAGTAGATTTCTTTGGCCACGAAGATAGGTAGAGGTGGGGAGAACATTTGCCTAGCTTGGGAGGAAGATAAATAACAGTACTGCCAAATATGAACATTCTTGTTCTGAATAGATGCTTAATGTGCAGCTTATGAGACTTGATCCTTGTGTATTATTGAGTCATAAAAGAGCAAGACTACGTAAGGGCAGCACTGGAGGGAGGAAGGTTCTGTCTGCATCTTGACCCTTTCTCAATAGTATCGTTGTAACCTATCGTAGGTTTTCGGTCTTGAGTGAATTTAGAGCAAGAGTTAAAGTCTTCCTGTAACTTGTCTTTTGCAGGGGATCCAGGCACCACTGGCCAAAGAGATAGTCCTTGTTAACAGGACCTGTGGGAGTTGCTGCTGAACAAAACAATAAGTCAGAAGCGTCGTCACCATGGGAAGGCAAATACCGGTCATTGAGCAGTTTTTGTACAGAAATGTTTTTAAACCCATTAAACCCCCCCTTTTCCAAAAGGAAAAACACCTTAATTGATTTCACTTTTATTATATTCACATTGGGTTTTTATGATTATACTCACGGTGTTGCCTTGTTTCTAATTTTGAAAGTTTATTCTGTGTTCTCAAACACAGTTAGGCTAAACTTGTTGCTTCTTGGAGTTGCTTGAAGTCCAGAACCAGCATGTCAGTGGAGTGAGAGACAAACCTCTTGGCATCTCTAAAGCCAGCACAAAAACAATAGATCAGTAGATGTGACTCAAACCTCAGCAGTCCAGAGGAGGAAATAAGGCCAGGCTGTCTTTTATGTTAGACCTTGCTTACAAATTGAACTGCACAGCTCATCTCTTACAAGACAAGGTAATATGAAAAATGAGTGTGTTTACCTGGCAGTGTTTGTGTGGTTTTAAGCAAAGATTTGCGGGGGGGGCGGGGGAAGAGCTAGGGTACTTTTTTGATCAGAGACCAATGGTTTCATCATCAAGTTATAGAGTGAAAGTTTTTTCACCATAAAGTTATAGAGCAAAAGCAACAGCATTAGGTAGAAGGTAAAACCACAGAGTGCAGTACTGGGTTGGGGAAAGCCAGTGAGGTTCTGTGCTGCAGCTGATCTCAGCACAGCTATACTAACATTTCGTAGTTTTAAATGCCCACAGTGAGTTATCCTGAAGTCTTTGTAGAAA